GGCCAACCCCACCGGCCCACCCCTCACGGAGTACAAAAAAAAAACCACCACAAAAAACAGCGAGAGTTGGAAAAATGTGCAACGTCAACGCACTCGGAGTCTACGTGTGGGAAACGATCGTTTTCTTCAGGTAAGGCTCGGCTTTACGGGAGGAGTGTGTGCGCACCAGGCGCTGCCGGGCGGGACTGCCGTGCCCACCCCAAGCTGGGGGCACAGCCCCTAGGCACAGCCTCAGCGCTAGAACAGCAGCGTTCCACCTTTCTCGAGCTGCCTTTTCGCCTCGTCTCGGGGAACCGAGACCGGCTATCGCACAGCCCCGGGCTCGGGACTTTCCGTGGCTTTGGGAGTTACTCCGTTTAATTAGCACCGCAATCTCGCTAACCGCAGTGCTGAAAACACCGACCCCGGCTGGTTGCAAAGTGACAACTAGTGGCGGCTGGGAATGCTGCACTTGAATTTGCCCGGGTAAATATTCCCACCTCGCCCCCTCCCCATCCTCAGATTGCAGGTTAAGGTGAGTTCCATGAGATGCTTTCACTGCTTAGCTACGCTATCTTGAGAAATCGTGGGACCCCTTTTCAAAAAGGGTTCTCTATCTCCTCAGCTTGCTACGTCTAAAGTCACTGAAAGCAAAGAAATAACCTCCTTCCTCCCCAACTTTTTTCTTTCATGTAGTTTTTGACATCCTTCCCTTGCAGAATCTGAGTGAAAGCCAAAGAGGATGCGGGGAGGTTTTTGTAATTATATCCATTACCACCTACCTGTATTTTGACTGGTTTAGACGTGTTTAGTTTCTCATTAAGGCTAAGGTAGGAGAAGGAACAGTTTTAGTCTTAAAGAGTTGTTTCTGGTTTATCTCTCCTTGCAGTGCTTTTATTAAATGGATAAAAAAATACTGGAAACTGGAAGCTCTTCTGTATTTGCATTAATAATGCTGTCTGCTGTAGCAAGTGATAGATGCCAGATACATGCAACTAAAAAAAAAAAAAAAAAAAAGGCCTTCTCTCATGACCTGAACTTGCTTATCAGTCTTAGAATTCATTTCAGTCTCATGGCTCCTACTTTTACATTTCTGTATTTTACCAAAGTCTCATCTTATAGTTTAATGTGAAATAACAGACATTATTTACATATACCTCACCACTGTAATACTTATTTTATGAATCACAGTAGCAGACCTGCTGATACTGGACAGATTTTTCTAGCTAGTGGACTCTTTCCTTTTGAACACTAAAGTCCTTCCAGGCATAAAAATTGGGATATCCCCACTTTTTCTGTAATCCCACAGAAAATCAGACAGCAAGGTTGTAATGTGAACTCAAAGCATTTGATGTTTATCTGTTAGGTAAACCAAGCAAGAGGTTTAGAAATAACTAAAAATCAACAATATCTGAAAAGCAATGCACAACATCCAGTACTCAAAGTCATCCTTTCTCATCTTATTTACTCACAAGTGTAGAGCAGCACAGCGCAATACAGCAGGGTAGACTAAAAGGAAGCATATGTATGCGCAACAAACTCTTTAGTAAAATAATATTGAAGTATAGAGAAAAAAACAAGATTAAACACCATATAAATGCTCTGGTTTGCTGTTCATAAATAAGCTACAAGTCAAAAGGAAATAAAAAAAAAGGTAGTTCCAGGCTTAAGTTTCCTATGGCCCTGGCATTAAAGCATCTGTCTGGCTCTCCTCTGAACTGCTTGAGCAAGTGAAATTGATACATGCTTGTCTTGCTGATCCTGTTCTACAATACACACTTACACATCACACAACACACGTGAGCACTTACAGGTTCTCAGCACATCAATTAAAGTCCTGGGCATTCAAAACCCTGGTAAACCAGTTGCTTCAGGTTCTAGTGTAAATGTTTATACTGTTATAAATTATATACATGTGCATATACATACATACATGCTATATACGACTGCCATATTGCATACAAGAGATTTCTAGAAGTCTATTTTTCCTGCAATTAATATTTAAGAAAATTTGAAAATGCTTTAATTCTGTTAACAGCAAGATGTTGAAACCAAACTGTTTTATATACTACAATCAATTTCCAAACAAGAAAAAAAAAAAAAAAACCACAGTAATTCCTGCTCAGAACTGACTCCAAGCAATGTTTTTCTTTTTTCTCCCACTTTGTGTTGTGTTCTGTTTATTACAGGCCAAAAATCTACCAGCCTTTCTGATCCAGGAATAGCTTTGCTATTTCAGTTTCAGTAAGAGAAGTTTATTCATTAGCAGTCATTCATAAATTTAGTGTGCCAATTACTCCTGCATGCAGTCATACATAATATTTTAAAAACCCATAAACTGATAATCCAATAATCCACTATAGAAGTATGCATTGCTTTAAATTACATGGTGTACCACACTTTGTCAGCCTGTCAAAAACATTCTGGAAAGAGAATCCATTGTACGTTAGCACATACACCACAAAAATAAAGAAAAACGCAAAGTCTCAAAGGACAATTAGATACAGCCAATCAATACAGGAAACAAGACTAGATCTGTTGCTTAACAAAAAGTGTCCTTCACCAGTCTTAAAAAACAAGCGCCT